TTGTATCCAGGAGGCATAGGAAGATATTAATGCCACCATAAGAGGCACTGGCAACATCTCATCTGGATCACTGCGCTTACTTCTAACCCCACAGGTTAAAAGAGATTTCCTGGAAGTGGCGGTAAGAAGGAGGGTTAGAAGAACAGCCAGTGAAAAGCACCCTTTTCTGTGACAGGCACGGCACAGCTGGTTTGGCTGAACTCAGGCCGAGCAGGTTTCGGCAGTAAAGTGAAAAACTCAAGGGAGGACAGATGGGAATGGACTTTATGTTGGGTGAGAGAAATATCCTTTAAACTAAAGTCAAAGACCTTGCAGAATGTGAGAGCTTCAGCTGGTCATGATACACAAGAGCTGAAATCGTTAACCATGCAGAGGAACAGAAAAACAGAGGCAAGCTGATGGCAGGGGCAGCTTCAAGATGGAGTCCAGTGTCTCTGCATGTTAAGTTGAAGAGTGCAACACGACTGCCTGCGATAGAGAGGATCAGGCCTCACAGCAGAGGAGGTCTTCTCCAGCCCTGCCCATTTGTCAAGGACAAAGCTGGCTATGAAAGCTCTGATTTTCAAAACACGTATCAAATTTACCCATTTGTCACCGGCCAGTTTATCACCACCCACTATCTTATATTCAATAGTGTTACACAAGAGTGTAAATTAATGTGGAGTGCAATACTCCTAATTATTACAGTTGGGGAGCAAATGGGGCCATGCATATGCAAATATCTAATTAGTCACATTGTGGTTGTCTGTCTGTGGAAATACCCTGTGTGACTATGAAATCATACTGCCTGCTTTGGCTTATACAATGATGTGTGTTGCTGCGACTCTTGCATAAGGAGAATTAGTCCTTCTGTTTTAATAATACTGCACCATTCTGCTCAATTCTGAGCCCTTAATCTTGCATCACAGTGAAACACCGTAACAGCAACACATACTTGTCTATTTTTCCAATTCTCTATTTTGTAAAATGCTAGTTCCTGACCTCTGCTGAATGCGTACAGTGGCCTACCTTGACACAATATTAGATTAATCTTAAATGAAAAGAGTTTCAGTGCAGCTGTAATAGAAAAAAGAATATGACTTCACCTACCCAGGAATTTTGGGTTTCGGTCTTCTTTTCTCAGAAGAATGTTATCGTTTCACTATGACACATTTGTAGTTTCATGAGTTCTGTTTGTTTTAGCCTGAGATGACCTGGCCTTATTAGTTCCTTCTATCCCCTCCAGTTTTGGTGGGGTCCCAAGCGCCTCCTTAGTGGTATTGCAAAAGGAAATCCCCACAAACCACATAAATCCCTAAAAAAAGCTGATGGCAAAACCGAGCAGATCTGTGTTCGGGCAGGCAGCGTCCTCCCCTTGCGCAGCGCTGCCGCGGGTGTCGATCGCAGCCCTGCAAAGAGACAGAGAATGGCACAGCAGCCTGCAGGTTCTGCTTGCTCTCCATCACTGAAAGGACACCCTCACCTAGAGCACTTTTTCTGTATTTGCTCAATTTTAAGATACCTCTTTGCTGGGATTTCCAGGGTAACATCATCACTGTGGTGCTTCTGTAATTTACAGATAAAGGGTGACAGAAATGTGGTTTGGAGAACTGAGCACGATACAGGGTTGTGTTCACTAAGGCTGGCAAGATCCCTACCTTCCTGCTCAATTTGTAGGGCTAACTGGTTTCTGAATTATCACTACTTTGTTTTGTCAGCAATGGATCGATAAAGAAATGTTTCTGTGGTTTTATAAATACCTCTACCTTTTCTCCAGAATACAACAATTTCTTATCTTACTGCTTATACACAGCAATTTAGGTTCCTTCTAATTACTACTTAATTTTATGGTTAATTTCACCTCCTTCCCCCTCTTCCAAAATGCAGTCATGTATATTCTTATGTACATACGCATACCTCATCAAAATTATTTCAGCATAAGCGTGAATACCACGAACCAAAAGTTTGGCATCCCTGCTACAGTGAAAGATGACTGCCACCTATGGGTAAGAGCTCATGTTAACATATTTAGATAAAATTTTAATATTATTCTTTTTAGTTCAGTTTGTAATTATCTACCAGGACAAAGTTCTGATTAATTTGCTTATATTTTGTCAACAACAATCACTGAAAATCATGCTCTGAAAGTTAGGTACTAAACCACCTCCCATACAAAGGAGCACCAGCTTTATGACGAGTGAAAAAATGGGGTACGACGTTCTTATTTTTCTTATTCTGAATAAAGACTACATAGAAGTGCTCTAATTCCCTATGCAAAGTAAAAAGACTTATTGCTATGCAGCTAGGTACAGCATATTAGATAAAGCTGTATTGAATGACGACGATAATTTTAAAGTTTAGCCGTCTCAAGGTTTTAATGTTTTGCTTGCTATTTCTTTTACTAAATACATACAAATAGCTTAGCTGTGCAGTTCCATGAAAATGTGTGTATAATCAGTATGTCATAGTAATTTTATTTTCAACATTTTTCATTTTTGATAGTAAAATGAAAGCTAAGTGGGGGAAGGGAGGCAGTAGAAAAATGTATGTCCCGATTACGTAAGCCTCAATTTTTCTGATAATCAATCTGCGCAGCATTTACCTAGAAAACTCAAAAGAAAGTACAGACTTGAAAGCCAAATTTATCATGTCAAAAATACTTTTTTCTGATTCAGTTTTCAGGTACTTAAAAGCAAACAGCCTGACAATTCTGTATATCTGACTACCAAAGAGAAAAGCGCTTGATTACGGCTGCTACATTGTGGTAAGCTGCATTAGAATGGACATTACAATCTCTTTCTCAGAAATACCATACGTAAAAATTGCTGGAAGTCTAGCAAATTAATACATGTATTTCAGTTTGGGGAAAAAATAATTTTGCTCCAGTAAACAGAAGCTAACTATAGCCATTATATTTCTCCCTTTCAGGGCTGGGACACGGTATTTCTGAAGGAAGAGAGATGAACTTAACAAAAGAGAAAATGTTATTAAAAGAGAGAGCAACTAATACAAACTAAAAAAAGTCAAATACTGATTTTTTAAAAAAATCTGCCTTTTAAAGTAATCTTAGTCCAGGCCTTCTCATTCGTATTGTATTTTGCTAAATATGATAATTGCCCTATCTAAAAAACCCAAAATCAGTATTACACTAGTTCTTACCTCCTCCATTTTCACTAAATAAAACTAATACTAAACCTATATTATAAACTTGCAAAATACTGTAAAAGTGGTCAGCAAATGCTGCTCAGATATCTGAGGTTCACATATCACCATTTCATGCTTGCTTTCCAACGGCATCAGTACCCTTTATAATCTACATAATTCAGACACCCTGCGGTAAAATCTTTGTGCTTCATAGATAAAACCATCTTCTAGGTAAAGTCACTGCTCCACAGTAATAGATTAGTGATCTATTTTCCTGACGTATTTTAGGCCAAAAATAGCATTCTTCAGTTTAGTTCCTTGTGTCCACTTTGGCTACCGAATCAAACTGTCACCGGTCCAGTAACATTTCCCTGTATTTTCAAACCACAGTTTAAACTTAAACCACTTAGTCTCCTTTGATGGGAACTTCATATCAGACAGAAATTACTCCTTAGCACGTTTGATGAATCCAGCTTAAAATAAAACACCAGAACTGCATGAACATCTGTGACAAATGACTTGTCTCAGTCATCCTGTTCTTTCTTATTTAATCTCCCACTGGAGTACAATTTCATAGGTACACTATTTTACAGTGCAGACCTCCTCCCACCAACCTACTGCTTGCAAAAGGAATTTTAAAAAATATTTTCCATGTGTCATACCAAAATCTGAACAAATTATAGTTGAACCTTTCAAATAATTAGAAGTGAGAAAATGGAAATAAACAAATAAGCTGGTACCTCAAATTTACAAAAGTAACAAAAAGGTAAAGAAATTTAGAAATGCAATCAAGGATTGTTAAACTAATAGATCTGCTAATGGAATATGAAACAAATCCTCCTTTCCTGGTGACACATCACTGAGTTACTGCCTGCATATCATACAAGTAAAAAGGAAGAGAAAATATTTTAGTTAGTATGATGAATTTTGAGGTATTCCTATTTCAGTCTCTTTAAAAGCAAGGCCATCTTAAAAGCGAGGATACTCGACAAGATCTACTTGATATTGGAAAATCCAGACAGGTTTTTCCTGATTTTTTGCCGCCAGTGATCTCTGTGTTTTACAGAGGGAGAAAAAATTTCCACAAATCAGGCAGCATTCTTAATTCTCTGAAGTGCTTGCTGTTAATTTTATACCTTTACAGAATGACAAGTAAAATTCCACTTTCCAAGTAAAGAAATACAGAACATTGTATCATAGCTTTAAAAAATGATATTTTCTGTTCTATATAGATATCTCATCAATTTCACTTGAATGCTGCTTATAACACAGATTTTACTTTAAATAATAGTACTTAATGCCCATGTGGATTTTTTTGTTACCTAATAGCTTTCCTAGATTGGTCATGGATTTTTTACTGTGCAATGTATTTTTTTCAGTACTTAGTTATATGCCTGCATTCTCCAACAGACGTTCAAAATATTACTGCATTCTGATCTATTCCACTGTTTTGACACTGAAGTGCATTAAGATACTCACTATGTGTTTACAGAGGCAACTAAACAAAAAAACATGATGTTCTGGAATGAACGGGACTTTATTCTAATGGGGGAAAACCTGTTTGTTCGTAATAACTTAGTTTGTAGCTGAGAGAAAGAGAGCAACACACCTGGAATCACCTCACTGAAAATTCCAGAAATGCAAGGAGCTTCACAAAAAGTCTGCAGTTACCTTGTTTTTTAAATAACCATGCAGAGCTGACAGCTATTAGCAGTAGCAAGGACTTGCATAACGAGGACTTGAAGGAAGGCTTAGTACTATCCATGCTGGAGTGATTTAAAGAGAATGAAGGCACGTATTTCTTTATGATATATTATGTAACAACAGAGAGGGCAATGTGAGGCATTCAAAAAACTACAGGACTCACACTTGATCTAATTCTTGTTATTTATCAGACAAATATTTAATAGTGCTTCCAGCAGAAAGCTTATGAAACACCAAGCATAGGAATGTTATCCGGTATAAATTAGTTTGAAACGTTTTAGGTGACGTATTCTATGTTTTGTACATCTTTATGAAAATGTAATAGGCCCTCTAATTCATCTGCTTCAAACTTCTGCAATACATGCAATCTCAGATAAAAATGTCAAAATCAGTGATAGTTGGACCCTCTGGTTCACATTAGTGTGAAGAGAAAACTGCTGTTGAGCTGACATATTGATAGATTACGAGTTCTGCTGAAGAATAGCTAAAAATGGTGATTCAGTCTCGTCGCTACTATATAAGAAGAATAACAGAAGTGGTGATGATACTCATGATATCATGTCTTTTATCAAAACCCTAAAGGGTATTGGTGCATCGAACACATTCTCTTTCTGAGAGCTTCTAGTTCCAAAAAACATACCTGCGTAAGTAAATGAAACTAAATAGGCCTATTAAAAACCAGGATCACTTTATGCCCTAAATTTATTTAAACATTGATATAAATAGCAGTTTGTAAAAAGACTTTTTTTTCTGGGGGGGGGGTGATCGATCCTCTCTCTGTTGTTTTTTTTTTTTTTTTTTTTACAGTAGAGATGCTGGTCTTGTAATGACGAAATGGAGAGCTAGGAGGATTATGAAACACAAGTAACATGAAGGGCAAATCTGACTGAAAGAGAGGGAGAATATTATTCTGATTATTTAAAACTTCACTGGGTTTCTCTACTAACTTAAATCAATACAGGTCCCCTGAAACCTATATGGTGATACAGATGCGTCCAAGATGCATGTAAGGTAATGTGGATCATCATCTTCTGTTAGGACAGTAAATAAAAACACTTGTATAATCATCTTTTCTGAACAGCTGCCTAATCTTTAGATATGCAGAAGAGAACTTTTAAATGAGGCACCTTAAGTACTTCTGCTATTCTACCCCTGGTCCTGCTGTTATGTGAAACTTGCGTGGTCGTTAATGCTGAAGTGAAGCCAGGTTTAAACACTGACTTCTGCCCCTCAGTGCTTCATACTTCCCTGTGCTGCTGCTGCAAATCACCACAGAAGGCTCAAGATGGAGGGAACGGGGCTTGGGTGGCTTGTGCCTTCCTCCCACAGAGATCACAAAATCCTCCCGGCGCTCACTTCCGATGCATCCAAGGAGTTCTGCAACAACAGAAGGGGAAACAAGGCTTCACAGTCCTCATCTTTCACTGACAGGAATAACAGGTAAGGAGAAGGAGGAAACAGCAACATGGGGGAGGATGGGGGTAACGATTTCATTTTAGAGGCTCCCCTTTTCCAAAGGGAAAGAAACCTTGACAAAAACTTCATCACATCACAGAGATGTAGACAGGTAGGCACCTCAGATTTCTGATAACTCGGAGGGTTTGTTTCAGGGAAGATTAAGCATTAATTTGATTTTTAGTTTTACATTTACCGGGGCCTCTACAGCAAGAATTTGCAGCTTCTCCTGCAATAATTAATGTTTCATGTTGCACAGGAATTTCTGATTACATTAAAAAACCCCCTCCAACAAAACTGTAACTTAAGCTGTGTTCTTAATTTGATGATGGATGGGGAAGAAAAGCAGCAAGGCAGAAAGTTTATCACCCTACACTAAAATGCAGGGAGAGCCAGAAACCGAAATCAAATTAAAAAAAAAATAAAAAGGTCTCAGCCTTGTTCCGTGTTTTTCCTACAATTCTTACACATGCATTTGCCTTTTGAGTGTGCAGGCCGACATCTTTAGGATATTCAGGCAACGCATTAACACACTGTAGATACGGGAAAGGAATAAATCAGAAATATTTGTAGAGTGTGAAGCAGTAAACAGCAACCAAGAAGAAATGTTTTACGTAATGCCATCATGGCTTGGCAGCAAAGTAGATTTATACCATGTTCTTTCAAGCCAGTAAGCCTGGTAACAAGTGAAATGGGTTAATTTTTCTGAGTTTGGAGTGCAATTGATTTATGTTTTTTCCACGGTGCTACGCAGCTCTTAAATGTGCGAGCTCCTGCGGATGGAAGTCTGCTTTTAGGACAGGCCCCGCAGTGACAGGCTGCGGCACGGCAGGGAGAAGCCCAGGTGACTGTGGCGGGGCAGCGGCTGGCGATGCAGGGCGCAGCAGGTACCCCGCCATCCGGCCAGCCCGCCTTACGTAAGGACTTCATTTTCGCTCGCCTACAGCTCGCCGCCGCGCCAGGCACGGGAGAGGAGGCTACTCCATCATCTCCCCGTGCAGCCCCATCCCCTATGACCGCATCCTCGCATGTTTTAATTCTTTAATTATTTTTTCTTTTCCTCCTCTCCAAACAGCACATCTACACAGTGGCGTTTACCTAGTCGCTCGTGCCTCGCAGCCCATCCGGGCGGCCCGGCCCGCGCTCACCGGAGCGACGCCGAAGGGCAAACTCCCGCTCCCGCTCCGGGCTGCGGGCCGGCTCCGGGCGGGCAGCTCTGGCTCCTCGGCGGCGGCTGTGCTCCGCTCTGCGGCCAGCGGCGGGCAGCGTCCATTGCAGCTCGGCGGCTCCGCGTCCGGAGTCCGGGCGCTCCGGCACCCGGCCCCCGCTCCCCTAACACCGCTGGCCGGGCGCGTTTATTTCTCATCCCGTCCTCTTCCCACAAATCCACCGTCTGCGGCCGCCGAGCCCCAGCGGCGGCCCGGCCAGCCCCCGAGTCACCACCGATCGCTCTCCCCTCTCGCTCTCTCTCTCTTTCCCTCTCGTTTCGAGCTCTCCCCGAGGAGGAAACAGCACGGCGGGGCCGCTCGTCCTGCGTTTCACCGCCCGGGAAACGCCGCCGCCGGAGCGCTTAAAACAAAGCGGAGAACAGTCACTTTCCACACTGTTCCCTCCCCGCGCCGAGTAACGCGGCTGGCTAGGGGAGCTCGCCTAGCAGGGCTGAAACCCAAGGGGGGGCGAAGGCAGCAGAACCCACCCACCCAGCCAGCCAGCCCCGAGCCCCCCGGCTGCTCCCCGTTCCCGGCGCATCCCGGCGCACCTGACAGCCCGCCGCGCGCGCTGTATTTCCCTCCCTTAGCGACAGGGGAGGCGCGCGCCGGCCGCGGCCCCGCCATTGGCGGAGCGCAGAGGCGCGGCGCGGCCATTGGCCGCGGCGGCGGCCAATGGGGTGCGCTGTATCCGGGAGGCAGCGGCTGCGGAGCTATTTAAATCCTGGCCGGTGATGTCAGCGCGGGGGGGTGGCGGTGGCTGTCAGGCCGCGTTAGGAGGCGCGCGGCCGCCGCCCCCTCCGCGGGGAGGGGCCCGGGTACCTGCGCGGCCGGCCCCGCCTCACGGGAGCCGCCAGCGCCCCGCTGCCCTCCCCGCTGCCCTCCCCGCTCGCTTGCCGCGGGTTCATCCCGGGGCGCTGGGTGCGCTCTCTGGCTGCGCTAAGCCCTGGCTCGCGGAGAAAGCAGAAGGGCCCTCTCCGCGCTGGAAGCGCTTGTGCCAGCTGTTCGGGGGTGGCACCCTCGCTGTAGTTCATTTGCACCCAGTGCCTCTCGGTGACACTGAGCCCCTCCACTCAGGAGGGACATTGAGGGGCTGGAGCGAGTCCAGAGAAGGGCAGTGAGGCTGGTGAAGGGTCTGGAGCACTCGTCCTGTGAGGAGCAGCTGAGGGAGCTGGGGGTGTTTAGCCTGGAGGAAAGGAGGCTCAGGGCTGACCTTATTGCTCTCTGTGACTCCCTGAAAGGAGGTTTTAGCCAGGTGGGGTTGGCCTCTTCTCCCAGGCAACCAGTGGCAAGACAGAAGGGCACAGCCTCAAGCTGTGCCAGGAGAGGTTCAGGCAGCATGATGAATTTATTCACAGAGATGGTGGTTAGACATTGAAATGGACTGCCAAGGGACATGGTGGAATCACTGCCCCTGGAATTGTGATGGAAACTTAGCCATGATGTGACCAAAATGCAGGCATCTTATTTACACCAAGGTGTGTCACCCATGATGGGAGCACACAGCTGGAAGATTTTCTCAGTTTGCAGATGGATGTGTGCTGTGACCATAGTTTTTTGGCCCATATAACTACAGGCATTTTGGTTGCCAAAAAATGTGTGTTAAGCTACGTGGCTGCAGAAGGACATATGCAGAGGTGACATGTAGAAGTGGTTCCCTAAAAGCAGTTCTGTGGTATGGTTAAGGTGAATGCAGAGGAGGTCACTGAGCTGCATATTGTTGATGCCAAAGAGGATTTATCATGAGGAAATTAGGACCAAAAGCCATGAGGAAGGAGGCTGTCACTGAAAGCATGTTTGTTTCTTTGCTGTGGGAGGGTATGGCAAGAGAAGTAGAGGACAGCAGAAGGCTGATCATGGAGGTGGCTTCTGAGAGGTTAGGGATGGCATATCATAACTTGGGGTCCTCAAGATGAATCTGATTTTTTTTTTTTTAGGACATTCTTCCACTGTGACTCAGATGGAAGAATGCAAGAGCCTCTTTCAGGAATTGACTCCATGTGCCTTTTCAGTCCCATTGGCATTTCCTTGTCTTCTCTATTTGGGAGGCTGCTTGAAATAAAGATTAACTCACTGCACTCAGTGTGTTGTTTATGTACTGTATTTGTCCATTAGTGCCACCATACTCCAGATTTGCTGTGAGTTACCAACAACGTTCAGGAATAACACTTTTTATTATTTTGACTGCACTTTTGCCCCCTGGTTCCCAGCTCTGTTACTTCCAGGGTGACTTGGGGAAGTGTTACCTTCCTCTAAAATATCAAATTAGCAAGAGATGAAAAGCTGGGCAGAGGTGTTCATGGTGGCCCTGTTCCTGACACATGCATCTTGCTCAAATGCTTAGAACTAGTGATGAGATCTGACTTGAGAATAAATTTTTCTCTAATATGGCCAGTTGCATTTGAGGTAAAAAAAAAAAAATGGTAAGGGGGAAGAATCCACCCCACTCAGCAAGACGGAATGTGGTTAATTTTGTAAAAGAAATTTGGGTATTTTGGGGACAAGAACCTTTGGACAGAGCCATCACTCTAGAGTAGTCTAAATGTTAAATTTGTTGGCAGGGGGTAGGAGTGGAAGAGGTTAATATATGTAAGTGGAAGACAAATGGGTATTTGTGGACTTCACAGCTGTGGCAAAAACTTACAGGGTTGGAAAGGAATGTGAAGAGCTCATCTCATCTATCCCATGATTTTACTACCATAAAGCAGGATCCAACCTCCCTATCTCTTTCTTGGTAAATACCCAAATTATGCAAATATCTTTAGGGATGAAACCTGATAACCTCCCCATGCATCTCTTTGAGTGCTCTGCTTTCCTTAGCTTAGGACAGTCTAGTTCTCTTTTTATGACCCTGAGAGAGGGCAGTCTCTGACTCTTCCTCACTTAGTTCCACACATCTGCTTAAGAAAGGTCTGGAGAAAAAGGCCAGTAGTTATGTCAACATTTCCTCGTGGTTTTTGGTTGTTTTTTTTTCCCTAAACAAGCATGGTGAATTAACAAAATTAATGGCAGGTGAAATTTGCAGCCCTGGGGAAAGTAGCACACACTGCAGGGGAAGATGGATGGATGGTGATGAAGTGATGACATCAGCTCTAAAGAAAAAGGTAGAGACAGCTGGGTGCAGCTCCAGTGAAAAAAGGGGGAAAAAAAACACCCCTCCAACCTGCAAATTTTAGCAGGCTTAAGGAGAGGGATGCTGAATGATGAGCAATAAAATGCTATTGTAAATGATACTCACTGGACATTACAGTGTGTAGCAGCAGCTCAATTTCAGAGTTTTGAAGGGTGTGCAAAGATCACTGCTAGAGCTAGGTAAACAGAGACATGGAGAAACCAGGAGGCAAGTGAATAGCTGAAGCTCAGATGAGGCAGAACTCATCTGGAAATCCTTTCCCAGTCTCGACACTGCTTCTTCCTGGCCAATCTTTAGAAATCATTCCTGCTCCACACTAGTGATACAGAGTACTGTCGTTTTTCCTGTTAAGAACACATTTTGCAGAAGGGTCTATAACAGTTTAGGATTCAGCTGAATTCAGGCTACAAGATGGGGTCACTGCAGTCCTCTGGTTTAAAACATCACCGATAAAAATCTTACTTTAAATGTTCTGGTCAGGACTAGTGAAGCTTTTCAATTTTTAAATGTGTTTTGTGTGGAAAATCCCTCTGTTAAATAATTAGCAAGTGCTCTGAGCATTACTGCATATTTTATATTTCATCTGCCTGGAAGAAATGGACAGTTCTGTTGCTATAGATTAACTGCAATCTATTTTGTAATACTCTGGCTGCTGGAAGAGAGAGACTTCTTATTTCTTCTTATTTCTTTTACATCCAATTACTCAAGGAGCGGAGCTGGGCAGGAAAAGGGTTTAGCCATACCTTTTCTTCTATTCCCAGTCCCAGTGGACATTTCAGTTTACAAAAAAAAAATCTGCACAAACTGTAAATGTGAAAACCAGAAACTGAGTGGTTCAGCAGTACAGAGAATTCCAGTGCTGGATCTTATTTTCTTGGCAGGCATTAGCTAGGATGGCTTGTTTATTTTACCTTTTACATAGCCTTATTCCACATTTTAGTGTAACTTTTCCTCAGTCAGAAAAAAAAAATCATTGCTGTTGCATGAATTAGTCTTAGGTACCAATGGGCACTAATTGTGTTTAAAAGGAAGAATTCAGCATGAAAAGCTGCTCAGATTTAACCTTTTCCTCTTAGAAGTGGCATTACAAATGATTCTTTTAATGGAATGAAGGATGAGATCACCTTTTCAGTAATTTTGATGATCAGCTCTGTGTTCCTGAGGCTCTTTGAATGGGAGGCTGTGTCAGAAGTGTGGCCCTGGCTCTGCCGTGGGCATTTCTGTACATCTCGCTGCTGTTAGGCCACACCAGCAGGCCTTGCTGTGACAGAGAGCTAACTGTCACATCTGTTTTCCTAGGAAGTTGTTTCATTCTGTCTTCAAAACAAACTTTGAATTCTGAGATAGTTTTATATCCCTAGAACTGCAATGGGCAGCACCATTCTGAAGGAAAAAAATGCTTCAATTGTTATGTGTGTTGCACCTAACAGCCCTCCTGGCAGTCTGTGGGAGCCTTTAGTCTGCCAGAAGATGCAGGTGTGGGTTCCTCGGCCTGAAGGAATTGCTATGGATTACAGAGCACAGACAAACATTGATTAACCAAACGTGCCTTCAAACACACAGAAGTTCTCTAAGAGTATCAGCTAACTTCCTAGTCTCCTCCTCTGGTACAGCACCAATAGCTCAAGCCTCTAAGCAGACCTGTGCTTAATTTCACAGGCACTGCTTAGCTGGCTGCTCCAGTTTGGTTTGCAAGCTGTGTTATACAGAAGGTGGTCACCTGTGCGCGCTGTCTCTGCACGCACTGGGGCTCAGTCATGAATGTTGCCCACATCAGTTTCCTCCATGGAAACTAACTAACTAACTTGCCTGGTTAGCACTTGCAGCAAGCATCCTGTGAAGCCTTTAGAAAAGTCTCTTCCAGCTTGCTGGAACACACAAACATCCCCTTTCTACACCATCGTGGAGTAGAAAGGGGATGTGTGCAGTGGTACTCAGTGGTCTGTTAAGGACCAGGTCCCTAGTCAGGCCAATGAGGATTGCAGGGAAGAATCAAGGGCTTGGATAAAACTAATTCTCCATTCTGGCAATCAGATGGGGAAATGAGTGTTTCCTTGCAGCCCTGCTGCAGCTTGCGCATTTTCTTCTGTCTCCCAAACACTGCAGAGACTGATGCCAATGAAAATAACAGGCAGAAACATTTTTAACATTTATGCTGCTCATTTGCAATTCAAGTATGGTGAACTCCTGTGTGCTGAAAAGCTGGGAGCAGAATAGAATGGACCGATCTGTTTATGAAGACTGCAGGAGTTATTTAGCAGCTCTGAGATTTAGAGGATTGTTTGAATGTTATTGATCAGCATTTCCAAAATGGTGTTGAACTGGAGCTTTCCTGTTGTGATAAAGCTGAACGACTACAATTTGATGCTTTGATAGTAGGCTGGCTCCACATATCAAAAGGATGGGACACCAAAGAAGGCTGTAAGAATGCGTTCAAAATAGCAAAAAAGGGAATTCCATGTAGTATTTCCTAGGTACAGTGTTCCTAAGGAAGTGAAAACTTTTACTTTATTCTTTCACAAAACTTACCTCTATGTGTACAACAAAGTCTGTTTTTAAGGATTGGCTTGTTTGAGCAAATACTTTTAGATTTAGGATGAAGGATAATGTGATGTGATATCATGTCAGTGGGCAGTATTAATCTCTGCATCATTTTCCATAAAGGGTATAGAACTTCAGAAAAATGTCCTTTTACAATCCCCTATAATGAAGGAGGAAGCTTGTCAGCTGATTTGCCCAGTATGTGGATTATTTTTGTTTTTAAAAGTTAGCTGTCACATTTCACTGTGGTCTTCTCCTCACAATCCTGAAAAACACATTATTCAATCACTAGCATAAAATTTTAAGTCCAGAGATGACTCTTACAGTAAATACCAGTGTGACATTTAATATAAATTCTTGCCTAAAATATCTGCAATAAATCTTAGATCATATAGGTATGCATATGTATGTATTGGTACTAGAGGATGATGTAGTTGGGGGTTGAGCACCATGTTCCAAAAAAGCAAAGCCATACAAACTACTCATCACCTCTTCATCATCTGAGCATATGCAGACACCTACCATTTTTGTGACACTGTTTTAATCCTATGTGGATGTCTTCATGAAGACAGCTGCATTTTTAGCATACATGGAAGATTACTGAGCTCAGCACAGAGCTATTTCCAGTCAAGAATGCAAAACAGCAGAGATGGTTATTGTCCACTTCTTTCCTAATGGACATATATTTAGAGGATAGAGGACTTAGTGAGGAAATCAGACTTTCAGCACCGTCAGACAACAATTCCCACTTATTACATGACAGATTTCACCTTAGTGGCATGAGTGGAATCATGACACATCCTCTTCCATGGTTTTCAGAGTTGATTTATAGTCTCTACCATGCTTGTACAGGACTATTTTCCTTTCTATAATCACTTAAAATGCCATTCTCCTCTAGTTTCTGTGGAATTTGAGGTTTGTAGTAAGGAAAGGGATAATTTTAACACAAGAACTGAAATTGTGTCTGACTCTTGAGTAGATAGAGAAGAATATCTCTAGTGCTATTTCCATAGGTCTTTAATTTCTAAGATAAAAAATATATATCTGTTCTCTGGTACCAACTTCTCTTGCATCCTTTAAATAAGTGTTCTGTTAGGAGTTTTAAAGCACACAGTGCTTTTCAATTCATTCAATTCAGCATGAGGGAGAAGTGTGTATCAAATTTAAGAACCCAAATGGAATCATCAGTCACTCACAAGGCAAGAAAGCATTTACAGCTTCTTGTCCTGGGCAATACAGAACACTGACAAGCTACTGGGTTAACTTGTCCTACCCAACACAGAGCAGAAGCCCCTGGAGTGAATCCAGCATTACTTAACTATGAGCTGTGTCCATGCGTCTGATTGGTGTGTTGTTTTGGTTTTGTTTTTCCACAGGAATCATAATTCATTTGCACAAACAATCCCTCGTCCATAATGAATGCACATACCAGGATTTATAACAGATAAATTAAATGAGATGTGCTCAGGAGACAGCAAAGCATGCAGTAGAAAAAAGGGAAAGAAGTACCCTTTTCATTCTGCCTGATAAGAATGATCACTCAGAGCAGGATATAATTTTAATTTCTAAGTTATCCAAATACCCACATCAAAAAAGGGAAACAAAGAGAAAACAGGTCATTATGGGCACATTGGTATCACAAGTGCTTTGGTATCTTGCTCTTGTGTTGCATTCAATATCTGATTGTACAGCATACAGCACCAAAGCACACAGCATTTATAAAGATGTCATTAAAAAATGTAACAGTCTAGGCTGCAGGAGGCAGAAAGGAAAAACCTGTTTCCACTTAATAATTTGTCTGAATCTTACATGATTTTTTTCCAGGGCAAGAAAAACAACGACTGTTAAACAAGTGGCAAGTGAGCTGCTGCTCAAGAAAGAGGTGCAACTCTACATGGCATCATTAAAAAATGAGAGCGAAGAAGTTGTGATCTGCTGTAGACAGCTGAAGGTGTGTGTTACTCTTCAAATTAATTTAGGTAAATTTAATTTATCAGTAAATCAGCTATGATAAGATGCTGGAGAGGGATAACCAGGTTATAGGTGTGGGTGGGAATAATAAGCACAGCAAAACAAGCTGGTTGGGTGTGTGGGGAAGTGTGTTGCTGGACCATCTTGTGAGATGCTTCAGCTGAAGTATCGTATATAAACTTGTGTCACATGCTGTTGATCAGGCAGAATTCAAATGCTGAAAAGTCTGAGCTGTGGCTGTCTCTGGCTTTGTGTGATTGCCAAAAAAACCCAGTTTGGAACACTTGATAGCATCTTAACCTCTAGTTTCTGCTTGTAATTCTACATGGTGCTGTTTCATGGTGATTTTGAGGTTATTTGAAGGACTCTGGAGAAGGGAGCCTGAATGGCATATGGCACTGGAATGGACCCAGCAACTGCTGGAAGATGCAAGAGGATTCACAGGGGAGGAGAAGTGCAGAGGGCAATGGCGAGAAGCCAAAGTGAACAAGCAGGGAGTGCAGAAAATGAACAGAGAGGTACCATTATCTACCACGATGGTGTAGTTTAAGATGTTACCTAGGGCTGCTTGGACCTGTGGGAAGCTGAAGAGTGCTCTTTGCTTAGCATGGCAGACCTGCTTGTCTAATTATTTTATCTGTGGTATTTCTAGAATACAAGTAATGTGCAAGCTGTACTGCAATGTGGAGATAAGCAATAAAGGCAATTCATCGGCTGGATCTCCAGATGCTGATGCCTGAGGTCCCTCATAATCTGGTATGTGCCCAGCAGGAGAGGAGGAAGTGTAGTAAAGAAGAGTCATAGTGCACTTGGTTCCATGGTTCAAACAGCTACAGCTGTCAAACAGTAGTGCTTCTTGGTTTGGAGTTAGCTTGGGTTAAAACTCTTCAGGCCTGCTTGCCTGGGGCAAACCTCCAGGCTACAATGCTGTTAGGAATTTGCAGCTTAAATCTCTTTGGCAGCAGTTGCCATTTTTCAGCTTTTGTGGCAGTGGGAAATCTCAAGGTATTTGTGAGACACCTGGGAGATACCTGTAGGGATAGGGAGGAAATCTGTGAGAAGCCAGCTGCAGCTTAAATCTCTTTGGCAGCAGTTGCCATTTTTCAGCTTTTGTGGCAGTGGAGCAGGTTCCTGGGAATGGTAAGGGAAATCTAAGAAGGTATTTATGAGACACCTGGGAGATACCTGTAAGGATAGGGAGGAAATCTGTGAGAAGCCAGAAGGATGTCATGGGCCTGTGGTAGACCTGCAATGAAGAGGAGGCTTCACTCAGTTTCTTTCCCTTCTCTCAGTATGTTCTCATCTTTTCCTCCTCAGGGGTGGCTCCTCATGTTCTTGGGAGATTTGAGCTTTTCTCTGAAGCCCACAACTGTCTACTTCCCACCCTACAGCAGTCCTCCTCTATCAAGTCAATTGTACCTTGAAAAAGCCTTCTTCGTGGCTTTGCTGTAGCCTCTAATTATTCTCTGCTGAAAAGAAGGGGATGCTGGTGTGGCTCCTGTTACAGAGCAAAGAGGAGGCAAAAGTTGAGTGGGGATTATTTAGGCCAGAACAGAGGTTCTGTATCCCAAGGCACAGTCTTTGGGATGTGCCAAGGACTCAGCTGCTCCTGCTGGGCTGACCACACTCAAGTAGTACAACTGATGTCAGAGGCTCACAGTTCAATCTTCATTATATTGCTGTGTAGTTGTCAGGGATTAACTTTTCTTGGGTAAAGCATGATCAGGCACATCTTATTAAGAAAACATGACTGGTAGCAGTAGCAGAACTGACCTAATACAAGAACACTTGCCCAGTGACTCAATGTACACACACATCATCAAGCAATACTAGAATGAAGAATGAACCTACAACCAGTAAAAATCATCCAACCTGAATGGTGCTCTCCACCTCATGAAACTCATCTACCTCAACCTGAAGGGCAGGAACAGAGCCCTTCCTTCAGGGACATCTGGGACCAAGCCTATGTAGCTGGAACCAGCACAATTAATGCTGCTCCTCCCATCTATTGACAATCGCTGATCCTGCCAGCAAGCAGAGGGGAAGTAGAGATAGCCACTCTTCTGTAACTTTGGAGTGTCCTTTGCATTATTAATCACTATTTCATAAAGGTAATGAATAGTCACACTCCTTCCCACATATCCAATTATTGCACAATAATTAATGTGCAATTCAGCCCATCCTGACCTAAACCACAAGATGCTGAAGTCTCTTGAGTCAGTTTAAGACTGTCTTATAGGTTTCTAAACCAGGATCAATTAATGGTAGGTGTTTTCTGCATGCTCTCTGCAAACTCCTGACCCAGTTCCTGCCCTTTGCCTTTCAGATCTATTTTCAATGCAGTGGTCAGGCAGTGGTGGCTATTGGATATATCAGGACCATAGCTCAGTGGAAAGAGCCCCGATGGACACACTCGCCTCTTTTGCCTCTACACCTTTGTGTGTAAGTAGAGGTTACGTTTGTATGGATTTACATCTACTTTAAATGTGCAACATCTACTTGCTTAACTGAATGTGCATTGGTGGAATAAAACATTTTCCTCTTCATTCCAGGCCTGTTTTCTAGGAAAACTAAAATCTTGTTGATGTATCTACCTCATGGATAATGTCCACTGTCTCTCAGCATAAATAAACCACAGCTGTATGTGTTTCCTGCTAGTTAAACTGACTTAAATGACTAATCATCTTTCATTCATGTATTGCCTTTGGTCTTCTCAGGGTCCTCATAACCATGCAGAGTGTAAAACTGGATGATTTTCCCACTAAGTTATCCTTAAAAGAGTTCAGTCTTCTTGAACAATAGAAAGTTACCTGGACTTTATTAATGAAAGATGAATTTCAGTGTTTGGAGAAGCTCTTTGTTCTTTTTCCTGGTTTTCAAGGAAGCTGGTTCCTATCATTGCTCAGAATGCGTCCACAGTGGCTTGTCTATTTGAGTTTCAACTCATGCTTCAAATTCCTTTCTTCCTCACTAGTCCTGAAGTCTGAATAGTCCTTTACAAACAGGTAATGTAGGACATTTTAAATATTATCCTTCTAGTCACTCTCCAAAGCCATCTGTCATGATAGGCCTATCGTGGCTGGAATTTAGTTGCAGACATTCCAGGATTTACACTCATCAAATGTCTTAGGTTGCAAATGCAAGATGTTGCCAGGGGTGGGTATTCTATTGCCATCTGTCAGAACCGGGTGGGGCAGTTTTCTTTTTCTCCTCCACAACCCATCCTCCATCCAGGGAGATATCTTCTGTTAGTGGGCCATTGAGTGTCACTGCATGACTGATAAAGTTACATCATCCCACTGTGACATGCTCCACCCAGGGGGAGGAGCCAAGCATTCCTACCTGGATATAATCAGAGATTTGGAATACCTTTTGGAATTTCCTTTGGAAATCCAAAGGATTTCCTCTGGGAATCCTTTTCCACTGGCTTCCCAGAAGGAGCAGCCTTTTTACTATTGCATTCCCAGAGGAAGACCAGGTCCATCTACACCAGCACTGGACCTTCAGAGGAAAACTGCACCCTTCTACAGAATCACTGCTTTAACAGAACCACATCTGTCACTCCAGGAGGACTGCAGCCACTCTTTAAACAGCCTGCTACCAACACCCTGACCAACAAGGTGTCAAGTCACATTCTGTCAGTGTTGTTTTGTATTTCTGCATTTTTATTTTTATTTTTCCTAATACAGAACTATTATTCCTACTCCCATATCTTTGCCTGAGAGTCCCTTAATTTCAAAATTATAATAATTCAGAGGCAGAGGATTTACATTTTCTATTTCAAGAGAGGCTCCTGCCTTCTTTGGCAGACACTTGTCTTTTCAAACCAAGACATCATAGTAGCTACTTCATAGATACCATCTCTTTCTACCTCTGCATCTACCTCTCCTTTTCCTAATAATTAAATTGCAAAATCTTTGTAACTGAGAACGTTGTCATGTTGCTCTCCGTTTAGAGAGATGTCTATTATAATTGGCTTATCATTCATGACTGGAATTCTTAGGAAGCAGTGAAATAAAAATTTTTTAAAACAATTTAAATTATGTATTCATTCAAAAATACCATGTGTTTTAAGGGACTATTTTAGGATATTTGAGTGGAATATTCCTGAAAATACAAAATGTCAATGATTCAGGCTTCTATCCATAAAATGATACCTCTATCACTCCAATTGCCATGAAGTGCTTCTTTTTACCTTGTTTGTAAAGCCAATTATTAAACACTTTTAGTGTTTATCTGAACTCTCACCACAAGACCATAAACTGGATCAACCTTCACTGTGGGAATGCAGTGATATTAGGACAGAGCAGTTTCAAAAGCTCAGCAACTGTGTATTCTTTTAGATACTTAAAGTAATAGATTTTCTAAGCTGTATAATCTCACCAGATTCTTAAAGGACACCATCTGTCTGTACCATCACAAAAGTCCAAGTATGCCCTCCCCCTCCCAAAAAATGCAAGATGTTTTTTAATCATAACTGTTGAATGTATTTTCACAATTCAAGAAATTTAACAATGTTTTTGAAGATGAAAGAGCACCAACAAAACTGAGAAAGCAGACTGTGGGACGTTCCTCCCTAGACCTGATGGGAATGTGGAATTTGAACAATGTTTGTCCTTTGTTCCCCCAACTCAGGAACACCATTCTTCCTGTACTATGGACAAAAATCATGATACAGATCTCTCGATGTACTGTGGGAATAACAGGGCAGGAAACAAAAGTTAAATATTTGCAAGTGACCGAGTCCTACTCTGTTTGTACCCATGATAGCAAAGGATCCATTCTCTGGTCAGAGAGACTTCCTATACTCCGGCTTCCTATACTCTCGGACACCATCCCTTCATCTCCTTTCTCAGCAGAACCATTAAATTGTGTGCTGGCATGGGTTTCTGTGGAAATCCCTCATGCACATAAATGAGTAGAACGATGATGACAGCAAAGTGCCTCAAGCTGAAGTATCAGGATGCAGTTTCACAATTCGCCTACACTGCTCTCAGTCCATTTTGCCATGTCCTTCCCCTGTGCCCCACACCTGCCAGCAGCAAAAGTGGTCCTACAATTACACAGACTGATCACCCACCCTATTTGGCAAAGCCAGCTGATTTTGGAGAGGAGAGAATCTGTTTTCTGCTTAGGCAGGTCTCTTGGCCCCTACACAGCCCTGTGAGAGTCAGCACCAACACACAACAAGGGGGCAGGGGCAGGGCACAAGGGCAGGACATAATGTTACCCGTATCTTTGCAGATGATTTAAGTTGGTAAAATCTCCCACTAGAAAAGGCATTAGAACAGACTGATAAAAATGAATTTAGAAATTGCCAGGACTTGACAGTATCTAGTCTTGAGTTTCAGCATGGTTAAAATATGAAACTGCTCTATTGCTTTTTGTGGTGTACCACTTGAATTGGGTGCAGGAATTGAAGGTGAAGGGTTTGAGATATTTTTGGTAAGCATAAGCCAGTATGTCTGATTTCTGCACCAAGAAAATAAACTAAAATTGTAACCAAAACTAGAACTAGTGTATACAGCAGGTGGATAGAATATGAAAAGTCAATGTGGCTTTATCACAGGGAAGTTGTACTTCAAAAATCTATCAGAGTCTTTTATGCTGAGTGTATGAAAGTAAACAAGGAGTTGAGAGGGGATCCAGGCTTTCAAAATACTGTTGACCAGGTCCCTCAGTAAAAGCTCATAAAAAAATAACTTTGATGAAGCAAGAAACAAAATCTGTTGGTTAGTAACTGCTTAAAAGCTGTGCAGCAATGGATAAGAATACAAGTGTTTTCACAATAAATATTTGTTACAATTTCACTGTTATTAGCTTTTCATTACCCAGTGAAAAGGTAAAGAATACTATATAATGGTAAGGTTTACTGATGATACTAAGTTCTTTAGTATCTTTTCTAAAATCAAAAGCCAGCTATAAGGGGATGCAGGAGGACACCATGAATGAGAAAAAAGCTAACAAAATTAGGTAAACATAAGCAAATCTTAACTTTTCAATACAGACTAATGGTTTCTAAAATCACTAACATTCAAGAAAGAAGCCATAAAATAATTTTGACCAGTTTGATTAAAATAGTCACAGTTCAAAGGTAAACCACAAGGAAAGAAACAGATTGAGCAGGAAAACATTGTTAAAGCACTCTACTTTTCTCGATCTCATATTTTTCTAGGTTACAAGGAAGATCAAGAGGAATGATCAAAGGTGTGGAACATTTCCATCTGAGGAGACAGCAAATGAAAAGTAAACAGACCAAGATGTTTCTATTTGAAGAAAGGGTAATTGAGGGGATACTATGAAGGAAATCTATGAAATGGTGACTGGTATTAGGGCAGATAGAGAGCAACCACATATAACTTCTCACAATAAGAGAATTGAATGGGAGTCTATAAAATTGTCATTTGGCAGGTTCAAAACACAAGGAAGCAATTTTTTTCCATAAAATAGAAATGAATGTAGAATAAACTTGTTGTTATGGTAATAAAAATGAGAATGGGTTAAAAAAGGAATCAGAGCCATCTTGGAGAGAAATCTATTGAAAACTATTATGCAGTGGTCTAGAAAGAAATCTCCAGCTTGGAATTATTGGGAGTTACAGGATATACCCTGGAAAGAATTGATTTGTATGTCTAATGAGCTTTTCATAAGCACCCACAATTGGCCACTGTGGGGAAGAGGGAGCTGAACTACAAAGACCTCTGGTCTGTCCAAGTACAGACATTTTAACCTCTACTTTCCAAACACAGTAAATTACTTTAATGAGGCTTCTAATATCAGCCACATAATGTGAGGTCAGCAAGATAGGCAATATTTTAGATATTACATCTAAATCCATAGATATTACATCCATATTGCCTTGATTAACAGCTATGAAATATCCAAAGGGCATTATTCAGCATCATTCAAGTGGAACTGGTCTTATGCCATGGATGCAACAGACCTCTATATGAGACCGGAGCACTTTCTCCTGGTAAACACCATGCCATATGTTTTTATCAGGCACTAATTTGGGGGAGAATTAATCTTTATAAAGTTATTACATTAGAGTGTCCTAGTTATGTCAAAGTATAGAGCTGGGGGCTTCTTCATTTGTACAAATGTTGCTAAACATTTAATTTCAGATTTTCAGTCTGGTGGATAATAAAAAATGACTACCACCAAACTTGGAGCATTAAATTGAGGCTGTGTTTTTGGCAGCTCATCGTAGACGGATTAATATTACTGAAATAGCTTTGTTTCTCAGCAATACCTCCTTAAAAACAGCTTCCTCTGAACACATATTTCTATTTTATTGAGAAAAGGAAATACAGTATTAGAAATCAATGTTTTTAAAGGGTAATTTAAAGAAATCTATCTTGGCAGATGCTGAAATATTTTCAATTTAAAACAAATAGTATTTCTGTCATCCAGTTGGATTTTTTAAATTAGACCATTACTCCTTGATAAGTTAATTACAAAACAGAAAGAGACTCAACCAATCTAAAAAAGCATATTGATGAAAGCATAGAGCACATGTCTAAAAGCTACTTGTACTGATTTATGGGTGAAATTTTACTTTTTATATAAAAAAACCTTGTCTCCAACGTCTTAAATCATAGAGAAAAATGCTCAATTTTTCACCTTATCAAAACTAATGTTTTACATTGGTACACTGATGGACTATTGTTTTCCGGTGCTACCATCCATTATAAAAAGTGACAGCATCATAATTGAAATTATTTAAAATATGTTGCATTTAGATAATTCTTTACTTTGCTATAAATATGACTACACAAGAAATGCTGCTACTGGAAATTGCTAGGATGAGCTACCAAAATGGAATCATTGCTCAGCAGACCATATTCCTCTGGGGATAGGAAATGAAAAATATCAGAACTTCCTCTGAAATGCAGAAAGGTTAAAGGAATGGAAGGAACAATTTTTGTTGTGTCTGAGATGCAGACAAGGGAAGCACAGCGTACGTTGCAACCATGGGTTGAAATGTCTTGAGGTCTATCAGCTGAATCCCAGTCTCACCAAAATCCCTGACAAGTCTTTCAGCTGAGTGAAGTCACAATTTCACTCCAAAGATTTTGGTGTAAAAGGAAGTAAAACTCACCCCAAAAAAATTGCACTGGGTGATTAGTTTCGTAATCTCTGTCCATGGATGTCCCTGTAACTGTGATGCATGGCAACATTTTGTGCTTTTTACAGTAAGACCTTGCCAGGGTGCCCAGTGGGAATCCTTCTGGATTAAGTGCTGGGGTCTGAGCCAAAGTCGTGGCAGGTATCAGTCTAAGTTTAACAAAATGAATAGTGGCAAGCCAGAACCCAAACTAAATGCCATCTATGAGTAATTTACCCATATAGAAACTGTCCCACAGAGCCAACAGATGTTGCTGTCCTGAAGTAAACAGGCAGATTTAGCATTTTCAGATACTGTAAAATTTTACAGAATTTCACACAACTGGCCAGCTGGTGAAAAAGAACCTGGCCAACTGCAGAAAAATAGCAGAAATAACAAATCTGGGTTATGGGAGATGTTGTGTCCATGAAACTGTACAGTATCTGAAAAGGCTAAATTTGCTTGTCCACTTTAGGGCAGCAACACCTTGGTGTAAGAAAATATTTCTCATATTATAAATGCATTAAACAGGACTGGCCCTAGAATTGAACCTGGATGAACACTGCTGGTGACTGGTCACCAGCCAGTTTGAAGCACACCCTTTAATAATGATCCTTAGACTGTTCAAGACCAGGTGAAATCATAAGAAATTTTAACAGAAAAGTGTTCGCAGATGATTTCTATACTTCAAATACAGGAAAGAAAAAAAAAAAAGAAAAAAGAAAGTATGGGACACAATAAAACCACTAATTTTCAGTATATTGTCCACTGGTAATTTTAAAAACCCAGAACTTTTGAAAAAACAGGCAATTTCTTTAATTACAGGAGAAGTCTCCTTTATACAAGGCTTTCCATATTACTGCTCACATCAGTACTATCTCAGAGATAACAGCAACCCATAAATTACAATATTGTATTGTATTGCTTACCTTCTTAAATGTGGAGCAAAATTTAGGCAGACACTATGTATTGGTTGTATAGCTTCATCCCCTCCTGATGAACACCAATACAAGTACCACTGTAAAGTTTGTAAGTTTATGCTGTTACATGAGACAAAGTAATGATCTTCACTTCTTCTATTTAAAGAGAAAACCTGTCTTGTGATGGTTTTTTTACCTTTACCTTACAAAGTGATATAGTCTAAGGACCCTGAAGGACAGGCATGTCAGCTCTGCAGTGTTGATTTGGGATTGTTCCAGGTTAGACGACTTTTTAAATACCCCTAATTTACCACTATGGAACAGTTTGCATTTTGATATAAATTAAATCCCTGTCTGTAAGTGTGGACTTCTAATTTCCACATAGGAAAAATGGAAGTCAGAAGTTCTATATGAAAAGTAAACATAAGCAGCATTGAAAATTGGAAATTTGGGTCATTATTCAATGGTTCACATTAACATGTATTAGGGAAGTTACCGTGGACATGGTAGCAGCACTGTGAGTCCAGGTTCCAGGTCTGTCACTTGCTGGTGGCCTTTCAGCAGGAGTTTCTTGCATTGCTTCATGGTGGAGCAATGTGAAAGGTCAAGTGGGGAGTGTCACTGAATTTCTGTGTTAGGGATGTGCCTGGGCTAGGAGAATGTGGCTGAGTCCATTATCAGGGATTTGACTCCTTTATTTATCATAGTTATTAACGTACCAGCTCAAAAGGTCAAGTGACTCACATGAGAATCTCACTTTTCATTTGAAGAAAAATGTGTCCCTAGCCTTGTGGTTATGGAGAAAAGATAAAAATGTAAATGTGCAAAGGCTTAAGAAGCAGAACGATACTTAAAAAATCATCAAAAGACACACTACACATGAAGAGTTTTTGATCTGATGTTATGATCTGGGGGATGAAATCATGACTTTTGAGTCAGGGATATGAAAGATTAGGACGGACAATAGAAAAAGGAGTAGAGCAATCTCCCAAAATACGAATTATTTAAAGAGCTATTCCCACATGTTTAAAACTTGAGGTAATAATTTACTGTCTGCTGCTGTAGACTGTGATCCTTCTGGCTGTTATCTCACTTCAGTCAGTTGGAATTTTACTGACCAATAACTTGACATTTGTTGTTGCAAAGTAGATCCACAAAAGCCACATCTGTCCATGCAGCCCAGAATTGCTCTTCCACAAGGGCCTCAAGACCTGCTTCAGGGCTGGTGCCTCTCACCAGTCAATTATTATACACTTATTTTTATTTTTAAAATGAACCCAGATTTTACAGGAAATACAGGAGAGCTGCATGATACAGTTTGCTGTGCAACAACTATCAATGGTCAGGCCTGAAGTAACATTTTGGTCAGAGTTTGTTCTGAATAGTGAAATGCTGGAACAAAAGGTGAGGTAGTTTAGTGAGCTTTCAACTACTATAAAGAAGATCTAGTAGATAGAAGAGAGGCTGAAGAACTCAGCTGAGTCTGAGAACTCTTTGGGTAGAATTTTCACATTTGCCCCAACTCCAGCTTTTTGCAAGTGCTGAGTCTCTTGGCACATCTCTAACTAGTCTGTTGCTGTAAGCATTCCTGTTCCATCTCTGAGTATCCTGTCAAGAGCTTCCCACAGGCTTGGTGATGGAAGTGTGGGGTGCAACTCATGGTATCTTGCACTGTGAAGTGTTTTCCTATTAGTACTTGATATTGCTGGCCAAGTATGATGAGAGAACTTCTCTATCAACTCGAGGACTCCAAAATTCCATTTTGATCAGCCAGTGGTTAGATTTTGAAGGGAAGGGCACAGCTGTTTCAAAAATGAAGTTTAGTGGTTCTTCATAAATGCCTTCCATTTCACATCCTTTGATGTCAGGAAACCTCAATATCTCAGAAGTTTCCAAAAGTTGTTTTCTAAAAAATCACAAAATTAGAAAATATTCTTTTAGTGACCATACATCCATACTTTTCACTTTGAACCACTTCGCTGTGGTTCAGCTTAATTTTTTTGTTCATCTATCACTTGCAGACTGATAACACCCTGGTGTCCAGTCATGGCCAGCTGGGTCTTAATAATGTGAGATAATGTATAAACACATTTAGCAAAATGTTATTCTATCCCAGAGACAATTGTTGTTGAAAATAATCCTAAAGATGACTGCAAACCTGAGAAAGGAAGAGGATTATTGGTCAATACACTACCATAAAACACAACAGACTCTTTAGCTTGGCAGAAAGTTATCTTTTGTCACATATTTGCAGCCTTAGGGTTGCAGCTGTACAACAAGAGATCCTTATATGCTTCTTACATTTATTAATATTAGGTTGTTCTACTTGCATCACAGCTGGAGAATGTTAGAAAGTATTTGGGAGCCTACTGAACAAAACTCCTTCTGCTTTTCCCTTGCATGGGCTTGATCCAGGAGCAGTAAGTGGAGAGCTGAAAGGTAGAAAAGAACCCTCTAAAAAAGCTGTGTGATAAAAGAAGACAGATAAGAGAAATACTGGAGCTTTTAACCCCCTCCCACTTAGCAATGCTGTTTCTTGCACCTTCAGTTTCATCAGACTATCTATCCTACCAAATATGCCTCCCTTTCAACTTTGCCCCAGCTTTGGACTGGAGGTAGCAGCAGCTGCAAGACCCCATAGGCTGTGATTATCTGTCTCCTGTTGATTATATTTAAACATATGCTAAACTGTAAAGGTCATTTTTCTAGCATGACTCTGGAGTACACTTAATGATAGTCTTGTTACCAATTGACCTCCTGTACCTGACAGAGATTAAACATCTTGGGCAAATTTTTATTGCTTAAATCTGTGCCAAATCCTTTTAATATGTGAAGGACTTGATCACTTTTAAACTGGTGATGTAGTACAAACAAGATTCAGTTGTTTGATGCCAAGATGCCTGCTTGATTTTTGCAGTAAAGGAACAGAAATTCATAACCACTATGGGAAGAGCAAAAGAAAACATATCTGTGCAGATCTTTGTTGATAGCCTAATCTGATTCCTCAGTACATCCTGCCTGGACAAGGTTGAGTGATGCTGCAGCAGCCAGCAGAACTACAGCCATGCTACCTCACGTGATGAAAACACATTATCTGTGTCCATGGCTTACCATCAGAAGCATAACCTAGCTTTCAAAATAAGGGATATACTTTTTAAAGTATTCATATTGAGGAAATTAAAGCAAATAAGATCATGTTGTAGTGTTGGTTTTATCAACTTTTACTTACTCTGCTTCCAGCATATTTAGACTTAAACATACCTGAAAAATCTCACTAAATCTACAGTCGGGCTATTTCTTTTATGCTCCATTGGCTATTAACATTTCACAGCATGTCACAACTGGCCATTCTGATTCTATTGAGCCTTGCTGAATGGGAATTTTTGTATTATTTAAGAGCAATTCATGGCACTGCCTATATTCTATATCACTTCCTCAGAAACAGGGATGATGACAGGTGATGTCTCAAAAGCTAAGTAATCTTCCACTACATACCCTCTGTCTACAGTGAGTTCTCTAGATGTTGTACATGAGGTTCACCAGGAAAATTCATCATGGCATGTTACCTACTTTATTTATCCATTCCACTTGATACACCTACTAAAAATAGCTGTTCTTAGACGAGAGAGCCTTGCCCTCTCACATGTGTCAGTCTGCAGGATCTAATTCTGTAGCTAATTTTACAAAACTGAAGAGTCATAAGATGAATGGGCTAAATGGGAAACTGTATCCTCCAGAGATATGTTGATGATTTAAAAATTTCTTAGGATACATGTCAATTAAAAAGAAAAAGGAAGAGGAAGGATTCTATACACCTTTTCATGCTTATTTCCTCTTCTTCACTGTTGTTTCCCTTTTATTGCATCTGTCCTCAGATAAGCTTTTTGTTCACTAAATCAATTTTGCCATTTTGCATATATTTTCTTTTATCTTCTTTATTTTGGAATCTTGGTTGTGGTTTAATCTGGCAGGCAGCTAAACATTGGACAGCCACTCACTCACTCACTCACTCACTCACTCAGTCAATTTTCCCCAACTCAGTAGGATGGTGGAGGAAGTTGCATAAGAAAAATACAATTCATGGGCTGAGATACAGACAGTTTCATAGGACAGAAAAAGAAAAGTAAAATTAAAAAATAGACTATGCAAAACAAATGCTGCACAATGCAATTGCTCTCTACTCACTGACTGATGCCCAGCCAGTTCCTGAGTAGCAGCCCCTGGCCACCTCTCCCCCAAGTTTATGTACTGAGCATGACACTATGTGGTGTAGAGTGTTCCCTTTGCCAGTTCAGGTCACCTTGTGCAGTTGTGTCTCCTCCCATCCTCCTGTGCCCTCCAGCCTGCTTGCTGGTAAGGGTGGTGTGAGAAGCAGAAAAGGCCTTCCCTGATTTCGTGTAGCAACAACCAAAACATTCCCGTGTTATCAATATCATTCTCATCCTAAATCCAAGCCACTGCACTGTGATGGTTACTAGGAAGAAAATCAACTCTATCCCAGCTGAAACCAGGACAATGTTCTAGGTTACACTACTACTGTATGAGAAAATATTTCTACTTATTTCCAGGCATTCTCTGTATTTTTGTTATTAATGACAATGAGATTGGAACCAAGTTCAGCATCAACCCATAGCTGATTAGTGGTCTTAGTATTTCTGATAAAAATGAGCAGATAACAATGACATTTTGAAGGAGAGGGTAATGATTATAAAATTTTGCTCATGTTTTGAGCTTTTGTTGATACTTTAAGTAGAAAAGGTAGATGGCTGAATTTAACAGTCTCTCACCACTAGAATGGTGTTCTTTACACCATGACTGAAAACTGCACTGACAGGAGACCACAGAAAAGCTTGCAAAACCTAAGCTTTAGGTGTAACATTGGCTTAACATTTAAGCCTGGGTTAACATTGACAATAAGTGTCCTCTGCACTGAAACAGAAAGAATGGGACAAATTGTGACTTGCTGGGCATAGGAACAAGGACAGAAGGAAAAATTAAGTCTTTCACCCAGTCTTTCCTTTCTGTGCTCAGAGGCAGGTTGTAGAATACAAGAAATTATGAAAAACAGTGGTGGAAAAATATTGAGCAGCCTTTCTTCAAAGGTGGTGCTGAGCAGGTCAGCAAGGTTGCAAACTGAGGTGGGTTTAGAACAAATATGAAAAGAGTAAATCTGCCACAGTCACAAGGTCATGCAAATACCACTCAAGTATCCATGAATATTTGAACTGCAACTGCTGCCAGAAATTAAAGTGGTTTTTCTTTCAGTGTAATTCTACAGGTAAAAATATATTTTTGTACATAGGATCAATTCCCACGGGAAAGTGTGTGTTCCAAAATAACATAGAATGCCCTTTTTCATTAGTTTATTTATCATGGAATAGAAGTGTCCACACAGGCAGCTTTACATTCATAATTATATTGTAAGATTTTTAGTGGTTCATTTTTTCAGTGAGTCAAGTCTTAAAACTATTACTTGATGGAAAACCCCCCAACCTTTGAGGAAGAACAGGAACAATATTGATATTGCTGTGTTCTGGAGATGGTACCCTTGCATGCAAAATCCATTGCCCTCTTTGGGCAAATCTGGACCATCACACACAGCAGTGTCAGCAATGGAGCACTGTGATTAGCAGTTTAGGAGAGAAATGTGATGCCATCAGAAAGGAACCCAAAGAAGCAAAAAGATGGTAGGCAGAAAATTATATATCAGCAGTAGTATTTCTAAAAATAATGGTTTCCAAACTTTTCCACAAGGCATTAACAGCTCTTTAAGGGATAATCTTTATTGCTTTGTAATGTACAAAGCAATAAACAGCTGCTGAGATTGATTAATAGCCAAAGCAAAGTTGAGGCATGTAATCAATCTAAAAAGCCATTTATTGTGAGTATACTACAAAGCAATAGAGATTATTGCTGTTGCACAACAAACCATAACAGGAAACACACAAACACATACACACACATACAAACAAACAGTTGTTTTCTTTTCAAGGCTTGGAGTGCTATGCTGCCTGTTCCCTGAGTTTTTCTCTCTGACAAAGGCAGGCAGCTGGCCTTGCAGCAAGCAATCTACGGGGAAAGGTAATGCCCTAGGAACTTCAGTGTTATCTACAGGAGAAATAATATTTACTCTTTCAGTTTTGTAGCTAAAAATACAAAATTTCACAGGTATTAATCTCATCCTTGGTAGCAGTACTGATGTTTATATGACCAAGAAAAACAAAAATTTAGCTTACCAGTCAAAAAATCATCTAATTCATGCAAATGCAGTGCTCATTTAGAAATTAAGACTATTCACTTTTGTGGGGTATTTTTATGAATGGCTACTAAATCACTTCAGATTTTTTCAGAGTAACACTGAATAAAACAACTAGCTTTCAACTCCAGCTGTTTCCAGCAACTACCCCACCTCATTCTTTTAATGCAACTTTAATACAAGTCTTAATATAGTTTGGTTTTGACTTCTCCAGTCTTCCTGGGAGGCTGTTTCAGAATCTTATCTCTCTACTAGCTTTAAACCTTTTTAAAAATTTGCATTCTGATTTTTCCAGGTCATATAATGCTCATTTGTTCCTGAGCATAAAGTATAAATTGCTTTTTATCTTCTTTAAAGAGACAATATGAACAGAGTCTCTCACCCTTCCCTTTGGCAGAATAAACAAGCTGTGCCACTGTAGCTTTATGGCATGATAGGCTTGTCCCTGGATCAGTCTCACCATCCTCCTGAACACTCATCCCAGTCTCAGTCTCTCTCCTGAAGCTGGGTGCTTTGGATGGCACTGAGCTACAGAGGAGCTCCCAACACTGCCTCCTCCTGACACATTCACCACATCTACTGGAAATATCTCACCCAGCAGACCCAAGGATCAAATTTGCTTTTTCCACATCCCCTTAACATTTGAAGCCAGTGGTTAACTTGCACTTCCAGGCATAACTCACATATTTCTGCTTCTGAACTGATGACCTTGCAGCTTATGACAGAAATTTGTATTAGTACAGAAGGGCACAAGCTTGCAATTTGCACTATTAAGTTTCAGTCCATTTTTATTATTCTAGTTCTCAAGGTTATTCAGGTCTTCCTGTATCATATTGCCATCCCTTTCCTTATTAACTGTGTCTCCCACTTCCGCATCATCAGCAAATTTTATTAACAAATTCCGTCTTCCTATTCTAAGGTAATGAATAAAAATATGACTGAAGAGGTATCCTTGAGGAACTCTTGGTAAAATACCACTCAAAGTCAGCTATCACAATTCTCCAATTGGAATTCTCCAATTTCACATTTACTGGAAATACAATTCAGCTCAATGAAAATTAATTTTTGGTTAATCCTAGTGGATCTAAACTTTCCAAACTGTTATCTTCAAAAATCTGAAACTATTTAATATCTGCAATTACCAAAAAAATTAATAACACCTACTTAAAATAATAGAAAGAGGATTTTCATAAATACATGTACATACCTCTTTAGATATATAAAAATTTGGAGTATAAGAATTGTACTCATGATGTAGTGGTCCCTTTGGTTGCTTCTAAGCATTTGACTCTGATAGTTAAAACAATTGTTTTAAAGCTATTATTGCCTTAGCAGCCAATTTTTCCGTTTATCCAGCCTTATATTTAATTTTTATCACCTTCATACTATTCCTGCAAGTCACAACTACCCTGCAGAAGATGATCTCCAGACTTGAGATGGCATTGTCCATGTATTCCTTTTCTCTGTGGGTCTGAAATTTCAAATTTCCTCATGTTTCCGTTTTCAGCAGCCATGCCATTCTTATTTCAGGAAATGC